TTGGCGTTGGCGGAATTTGTTATCTAAGAAGATGCTATTTTCAATTCATTTTTCCCAAGCTCACAGGCGTTGTAGGGTTTTGATCATTAGTTGTTTTTGTACCTAAATAGTTGTATTGACATATTGACATTTACTGAGAATTTAGTTTTTCAAATTTAATTTGTTTCAAATTGACTGAAGAAATATTAATATTTATTAAACTGTTAAGATAGGTAATTATTATAAAATAAAATAATAACCTCTTTACTTTAGTTTTCTTCGAATTTTTAAAAAAAAAAAAAATCGTAAGTTGATTAGAAGCTGAGATAATTTTTTTTATTTATTTAATCGCAGTGACCTTAATTATTAATATTAAGAGCCGAAATTTGGAGAGAGTATACATTAAGAGCTATATTTTCATGTCTTACATTAACATTAAGGTGAATTCAACTATTTAATTTCGAAAAAGAAGATATCGGCGATGCGTTCTATTACTTGGTCTAGCGAACGAGTGGGGAAGGCGAGGCTTAGCATGCACGCTTAACGATGTAATAAATATTAACATTTTTTCAAAGTCATTTTTAAACAAATTAAATTATCAGTAAATGCATATGTCAATACAACTATTTTGGTACAAAAACAACTAATGATCGAAACCCTACAACGCCTGTGAGCTTGGGAAAAATGAATTGAAAATAGCATCTTCTTAGATAACAAATTCTGCCGACGCCAAGCTAATGAAGTTCTTGGGCTGAAATTTTTACCACTTATTAAGGGTGCAAAAAGCTTCAAAAATCCTGAATTACAAGTATCTGCAATGAAAATTGCATTAATTATTAGCAATTGAAAGAAGCGGACAATTTCGACCATTTTTGAGCTCTTGCGCATAAACAAATTATCGGAATTTAATCGGACTTGTCTTATTTTACAGATTTATTTAATACCTACCTTTTTTGTATACACGTTTTTTTCTCTATGAATAACAGTTTTTTTACGCCAGTCGAAAAACTACTTTTCCATAATTTTGACCATTGTTTTAACAAAGTTTCCCAACTAGTCTCGAGTTGATTTTTTGATATTTTGTTTATAACACGTTTCTGAACAATATTCCGCAGAGAAACTTCTAATAATATTTTTTTCCTGGAAAAAAAGCTATAATGATTGGCCTAATAACGCAATTGTCTTATTTTATTGCAGTTTTCAAAAAAATATTGTCTGCATCTCGAACGCAAAAGTACCATTTCGCGTTCTAGATACAAAAATAACAATTTTAACAATTTATAGACATATTTTCGTAACGTTAACAAAATTAATAGTAGTTTTTCGAGTTTCTTGAAACTCTTGAAAAAAAAAAAACCACCAGTACTTCGACAACCCAACGAGGATTCGTCAGGTGGTATAAGTGTTGAGTTGAGACATACTAAATATATCGATTAGTTTTGAGATTTTGATGACTGAATTGTTTTGTGGTTTTCCAGGATGCCCGTAAGGCGGCGTGCGACACATCCCTGGTGCAGGCCACCGCCAGCCTGGAGCCCATCGGGAGGGTGCAGATGCGGACGCGGCGCACCCTCCGGGGCCATCTTGCCAAAATATACGCCATGCACTGGGGCTCTGATTCCAGGAACCTGGTGTCCGCCTCTCAAGACGGCAAACTCATCGTATGGGACAGTCACACGACCAACAAGGTAAGTCCGGGAAGAAAAATTCCTTGCCATATGCACCTCTGCAGGTTCTTTTCCCACAATATCAGCAGCTAGGATTCTTCTGCGTCTGTCACGTTAGATATTTTGGATACCTAGATTTAAATTATGGAAATACATTTTTTGATGTCATCTGTTAGTGTTTTTGGTAGAAATTTGTAACGCCTTTAAAAAATAGTAAAAATACAAAAGATAATAATAAAATACACATTTTTTTCTCGTTTCGACGACCGTAACATCAAAATGTTTGTTCCTCCCGCTTGTTTCACATGTCGCTCCCAAATCCCCTCGAGTTATCATCTTGATCGCGATGGCTCGCACTCTGTCCGCAGGTACACGCCATCCCGCTGCGATCGTCGTGGGTGATGACCTGCGCTTATGCCCCCTCGGGCAGTTTTGTGGCGTGCGGCGGCCTGGACAACATCTGCTCCATCTACAGCCTAAAGACCAGGGAGGGCAACGTGAGGGTCAGCAGGGAGCTGCCCGGCCACACGGGCTACCTGTCCTGCTGCCGCTTCCTGGACGACAACCAGATCGTCACCAGCTCGGGTGATATGTCCTGCGCCCTGTGGGACATCGAGACTGGTCAGCAGGTCACCTCTTTCCTGGGCCACACCGGCGACGTCATGTCGCTGTCGCTGTCGCCAGACATGCGCACCTTTGTATCAGGTGGGTTGTGTCTTTGTTAGACGGAAATAAATGTAAAACGGACGAATCGTTGCCTTCTGCAGGGGCCTGNATCAAAATGTTTGTTCCTCCCGCTTGTTTCACATGTCGCTCCCAAATCCCCTCGAGTTATCATCTTGATCGCGATGGCTCGCACTCTGTCCGCAGGTACACGCCATCCCGCTGCGATCGTCGTGGGTGATGACCTGCGCTTATGCCCCCTCGGGCAGTTTTGTGGCGTGCGGCGGCCTGGACAACATCTGCTCCATCTACAGCCTAAAGACCAGGGAGGGCAACGTGAGGGTCAGCAGGGAGCTGCCCGGCCACACGGGCTACCTGTCCTGCTGCCGCTTCCTGGACGACAACCAGATCGTCACCAGCTCGGGTGATATGTCCTGCGCCCTGTGGGACATCGAGACTGGTCAGCAGGTCACCTCTTTCCTGGGCCACACCGGCGACGTCATGTCGCTGTCGCTGTCGCCAGACATGCGCACCTTTGTATCAGGTGGGTTGTGTCTTTGTTAGACGGAAATAAATGTAAAACGGACGAATCGTTGCCTTCTGCAGGGGCCTGCGACGCATCCGCCAAGCTGTGGGATATCCGGGAGGGGCTGTGCAAGCAGACGTTCCCCGGCCACGAGTCGGACATCAACGCGGTGACGTTCTTCCCCAACGGGTACGCGTTCGCTACCGGCAGCGACGATGCCACCTGCAGGCTGTTCGACATCCGTGCCGACCAGGAGCTGGCGATGTACAGTCACGACAACATCATATGCGGTATCACCAGCGTGGCGTTCAGCAAGTCGGGCAGGTTGCTGTTGGCCGGCTACGACGACTTCAACTGCAACGTGTGGGACTCGATGAAGACGGAGAGGGCCGGTAAGTAAACGGCGAGCTAATGAATATTTGAGTTTTTTTTTATGCTCATTCTTAATTAAAATTAAATGTCTTTATTAAATTCAGGAAATAGACACTAAAATGTAACATCCTGTATATATTTTATATATTTTCTTGGACAAAATATTAGTATTAGATCTTAAATTTGCAGTAAATTGACGAACTTTGTCAAATTATTAATGAAAAGTATACACACCGAATTTAACGATTTGAACAAAAAGTACTAATGAAAACAGTTCTGTTCTCAAAATGCTATGCTATAATTTGAAAAAATTGAACCTTTGCTAAAATATCTCCGAAGGCGTTTGATGGGGAGGAAATGTGGAATAAAAATTCGCTAAATTCGAATATAACTAGAAATCCTGAGACGCCATTAAAAATCCAATCCTGAAAATCTCAAAAAAAAAAATTTCTATTTCTTGAAACTTCAGAATAAGTGAGAAGTAATAAAAGAATATGTATTTCTTAAGGACATTAATTTAGTTTTCTTTTTAAGATATAATTTTCATCATTATGTTTAAATTCCGTCATATTTTGTTTTATCGCGTCTCCAAATTTATAAGCCAGCTATAAAGGGCAACTCTGTGTGTCACCGTTAAATATTATTTATAGATTTCTATTTTATATGTCAAATTTAAGGCGACCGATAACGACAAATTAATTTTAGTGGGGTGTTAATCTCAATGAGTAGTTCAAACGTCTCTCAATTTTAGTTGCATGTTGTCGCTAATATTGAAATAGTGGTGAGCATTTTCTAGCTTTACATTTTTCTATCTTACGCTACCATCACCAGCTATTAGGTTTTTTTTCTAAAAATGTGTTTTTAAAAATGTAACTTCTGAAAAAAATCATACTGGTTTAGAAATTTTTCATTTTTTTTTTTATTTTTCTTAGTTATATCATTACTTTGTAGGCGAAATAAAATTTTTAACTAACGAAACACTAGCCCGCAAAGGGGTTTCCCACAATACCAGTAGTTGAAAAGTTTATTTCGTTTTTATAAATTGGAAAAGTAATAAATTACTTTTTACTGACGACGTATTAACGGCCTTTCGTTTTTTGCAGGTATACTAGCAGGCCACGATAACCGGGTCAGCTGCCTGGGAGTGACCGAGAACGGCATGGCTGTGGGCACGGGCTCTTGGGACAGTTTCCTGCGTATCTGGAACTAAGACGGCTGAGACGCCACAACCAAAGCGTCTCTCGCCCGCATCACAACAACTGGGGCCGCACGCGCGCATCTACCGACGTTTCCCAAGATTCCGTTCCCGCCTTCGACGGCTTCACCAAAATTTATCCCCTCTACTCCTGACCGTTTCATTTTCGGTGAAACTTATCCCGCTCCTGATGGAATTTATCATAGAACTGTCCCATCCCCGTCACAATTTTTCCGTCTCGTGACCGGTTTGGCCCACGCAATGCCCCTTTATCTCTCGCAGTGTCCGTTGTGTGTTTTTTTTTGTTTTTTCAGCGCCGGCTTTGTGATGCGGGCGAGGGCGCGCGTGCGCAGAGACTAGCCGTACCAATTTTTCCTCTCGGTTTGTCACAAGTACAAAAAAAAAAATGACCAAAACTAGTTGGGGTTCCTTTGGGTTCCGACGGGACGCTTGGGGGTTTCTAAACTTTAAAAAAAAACAATGGATAATCTGCTGATGCGGGCGCACGACACGGCTACTAGTCTTGGAATTTCCGACCGAACGGGCGGAGGAGCGTGCCATAAAAGCGGGCGTCGCCTGACGCGAGACCCAGCTGGGCGGCGTCCCGCCCTCAAAGATTACCGGGCAGATTATGAATCAAATTCTTTTGAGATACTGCCTCTGAAAATACTGTAAGAACAGTGTTCCATTTTGCTATCACCTGTCGTTGTTTTCGACGTTTTTTTTTTTCTAAATATTAATTTGAGGGAAATTGCAACGTTACGTTCTGGTTTCTCGCATTTTTTTTGTAAATATTGAGTTCCTCTTATCACTTTTCCGTTATATCTAAATCCTTTTCGGTGGTGGTCGCAGAAAATCGAAATGGTCACGTTCCGAGAATGGAGTTAGGAACCCGTACTGTTTTTTAGGAGACAATTTCTATGCCCGCAAAGATAATATCACAAGTTTATACAATTTTTTATATTCGAGGTCGTTCTTGGTCGATAGTTGCTAATCGGTTTTTCGTTGTAACTCTTTTGTTTCTCATTAAATTTTTTAAATTTTTAGTACTTGTTACTTTGGGGGCTTGGGGGCAAAGCACTCTACATTTTTGCTCCAAAAAAAATTGTGACATTACTTTTTTTTATTTTTGTTACCATTTCGAAGACTTTTGTGCTCTTTTAAATGAAAAAGGTATACTTGTTTGTTATCGATACGACGAACCGTTTTCGAGGAAAACCTGTGTAACGATAAAGATTCCGAAACAGGTTTTTGGCAAGTTCCATTTGATTTTACAAGAACGCCTTTTTCACTTAAAAAAGTACGAAAATCTCAAAAATAGTATAAAAATAAATATAACTTCCCAAAAATTACCCACATTTAGTAAAAAAGGGAAAGTTATACGCTTGGTGAGCTTGATTTAAAAAAAATATATAGAAACTTGTGATATTATTTTTGACAGCCCAACCCAGATCGAGCAGCCTTTTTCGGGATCTCGTAAGAAGTCATAATTTTTTATTTTGTAGAATTCTACCTGGGGCTATTAAACCGTCCCCAAAAAAAACTATACGGGTCCCAAGTTTTATTTCGATTTTCCGTAACCGCCACCGCCTTTCATACTATAAGAGTTTTACCATAAAAATAATCTAGCTTTGCTTGTATGTGAGTGGAATGAACAAAAAACAAAAAAAAAACCTGTTTTTTAACTAAATTCACGTGATCTATGATTTTCTACTGCACGGAAGGTGTTTCGGGTGTGGGGGGTGGGGCCCGCGACTCGCCCAGCACATTTTTATAAAACCCAAACCGGCGTGGCGGGCCGCACCGCCGTCTAACTAAAATAAGTGTATAATTTTTTAAATTATTTATTATATCGTAACGGTGTGCTTGTAATTTTGGTGTGCGTGGGGGCCGCGGGGGCGTGGGCCGGGCGGGCTCTGTCTCGGTACCGCGGGCACCCTATGCCGTTCTGAACGGTTTCATTTATCTCGCTTGGAAACACAACCATCCGAACGCTAAGGGCTCAAAACCGTTCACGGCCGCATACGAGGCGTCCTGTCCGTGTGGCGACGGGACGGCCCGCGGTCCGGGCGGGCCCCTATATCAGACGCGCCCCTGGCTCGGCGACCGTTGGCGGTCGGCCGGCTGGAAGCGCCCCGGGGGCCGGCGCGAACGTTTTTATATATTAAATAGGTAATGTCACAGGTATAATAATAATTGGAGAGATGGATTAAAATCGCCGCTATCGTTTTGACTTACGGGGCACAATATCGCGCGTTCATGTAGCGTCTCTTTTTCGTTCTCTCCCCCCTTACGCTGTCTAGATTCTCTCGCAGGACCACTCTCTACCGTCTTTTGTTTCTCCCGTCTGGGCAACCGCAGCGGGTGGTTCCGGGGCACAAATTTTTCATTCTAAATACTTGTATGGCGCATATTTTTTAGTTATTTCGCATAAATATATGAATATAAATATATATATACAATGAGCATGGACATCTGATGGGCGATCCCACCCGACTAAGGTGACGTGCGATTTTTTCAAAGTGTAGTTTAGAATTGTCATTTTTTTATTGTTAATGATTTTGCGTATGGTGTATGAATACTATAGCAACATATATGTTATATTGTAACGTACCTAATAAAATAAACAATTAAAATTTCATGGTGCCTCCTTTGCTGCCCATTTCCATGCTTTCAATTTCCCCTCTCAAAAAAATTGTAACCAGGCAACACGCAATTAGCAGAGGTGTAAGGTTGGTTGCATAACTACGAAAAGTAACTATTCATCTAGTGACGTATCAATTTAATGATTTTTGTGTAGTCGGCCGTTGCCAGTCGATTAGATACTTCCGGCGACGAAAAACAGTTGGTACCAAATGTTTTATACAGTTGGCAATGCTCTGTTACTAACCGATGACATTTCTGTTTAGATTTTTTTGCGGGTGCGTTTTGTTCGTTAAATCCATTATATTATTATCAAGGAAATAAGAAAATCGAAGCCCACATGGCCAAACAAGGTAGCATAACGGCGTTTCTGAAAGGACTGTACCAGGACGACTTCAAATGGTACGTATAAATCATCTTTTATAAAAGTGAGGTTAAGATTGTGTCTGCAAATGTTCAATATTAAGGAAATTGTTATTTTTATTTAACTGGGTATTTTTGTCGTGTTGGAAAAGAATAATTTATAGAGATAAGCCCTCTGATTTTATAAATTTAGTTTTTCCGTTTCTAATATAGTCTCAATATTGTCCGATTTTATAATCTCGAAGTTCTTCCGACATAATGTTTCACTCGCAGGGTGTCCATCAATAAGTTTTAACTTTTAAAGTTTTTAAATCCAAAATATTCGTAGTTTCTTAGTGAATACAAAAAACTTTGTGTGTTTTGGTAAATAATGTAACTTTATATATTGAAACCAAACGTCCTCACACGTGTTGGATAATACTTTTCAACTTAACGTCATGTTCTATTAACAGGTATAATCCTGCTACGTTAAATTGTGACACCTTATATATGTGTTTCTACAAATAAGGCAAGTTGCATTTATGCTCATTTATTGCTACGGGATGCAAAGGTATCGACCTCTCAATTTGACTGCGTTTATCTTAAAGAACTAATAATGAAAAAATGTGTCATGTAAGCAAAATTTTAGTATTTTAGGTTGAAGTTTCTTCGGTGAATCCAAAAAAATTTACCCAAATTAAATCAATACAATAAATACTGTTTGTATTGACCGTTGCAAGGCGGTTGCTAGGAAAACTACGATTTTTTTACCAAGCTGTGCGATTTTTTTTACGGTACGTAATAGGAATCTTGCATTGATCGCACATGATGTGTTTTTAAGTATTTACGGTAATGGTCGTAGGTAAAGAATTTTTCAATTGTGACATTTCTGATTCGATAAGAACAACCTCTTAAATTGTTGCAAGGATTTATTTGTTAAAGATTTTTATAAACGTTAGTCTTAAGTTTTTGTAATTTTTTTTCAGGGCGTTGGTAAAGTCGATTGGCCTGTTCGCCTTGGGAATCAGGATAGCACAGGAATGCGCTGGGATGGAGCTATTGCCCTCTCAAGGATAGTTCTACTAAACTATTTTATAATATAGATTTTTGTTAGAATAAATTTATGTAAGTCGATATTGTTAATATATGGGATTTTTCCGACCGACGTGTTTCATTTACAGCCGTGAATCCATTCAGATTTAATTCTAATTATTTAAGAAAATATTTGAGATCTGGTCTGGCAAACGTATTATATAAAATAATTTCTAGGGTTAGAAAACGATTTAGCAGTACCCAATCTAAATCCCCAAGTTTCGTACAGCTTTTCCTGCGATATAATTAATAGGATTCTCAAATGATTAACATTCTGTTATCCTGATACAAGTTTGAAAGTTTTCGAGATGCCAAGAAATACCAGGAACAAAAATACCTCCTCAACCCGATACAAATTATTTCCAAGTCTCCGAAAATTTTCGAGATGCCAAGAAATACCATGAACAAAAATACCTGCCCAACCTTGTTATCCTGATAAAAAATGTTACCAAATGTGTCCAAAAATATTTAAAATGCCAGGAAATACCAGGAACAAAAATACCTCCTCGGCGTTCTGTTATTCCGATACAAAATGTTTTCAAGTCTCCGAAGCTTTTCGAGATGCCAGGAACAAAAATACCTCCCAACCTTCCGTTATCCTGATAAAAAATGTTTCCAAGTTTCGGAAAGTTCTCGAAAATTTTTGGAGACTTGAAAATATTTTGTATCAGGATAACGGAAGGTCGAGAAGGTATTTTTGATTTGTTTTCTCCACATTTGACAACATTAAAATTTTATATCAGGATAACATTCAGAACTTTCAGAAAAATAAAAATATTTAAATTCCAATTGAAATTATAGCTTTCTTTTCAGGTTTTTGTATCAGGATAAAAGAAGGAACTTCTATAAAATAGAGAATAAAAAAACTACTAAAAAAGATGCCTCTTTATTAATAATACCTTTTATACATATATAAACTCACACAGACACACTCAACATATTTTTAAATACATTAAAATATAATAGAAAAAAAAAAATGAAAACATCAAATATAAAAATTGTTACAACCACATAATAATTAATAATAATCAATCTAAATATGATATAAATTTGGCATTATGAGACTTAAATATTTTATTTAATACTATTTACAAAAATACATTAAAAAAATCTAACTATACAGGGTGTTACTTTTAATAGCGTACACCCCCTAACTCTTTTAAGAACCGTCCGATTAATATCAAATTTGGGATCCAAGAATAAAAAATCATCGCATATTGGTAGCTATTTTACCCTCGGGTTCTAAATTTGATATTAGACTAATTAAAAAAAAAAGAACCACCTTAACGCATTTGCAAAGTAACATAAAAGTCCTATATAATATTTTTTTTGGATCTAAAAACCGATAATTTTTGAGGCGCCGAAATTAAAAATCACTTTTTACAAAACATCGCTGAGGATATTTAATACAGAATGACAAAACTTGGGCTAACGATTTAAAAAATTCAGATATAAATCAAAGATACCGGTTTTTGCGGGACAAATTTTTCGAAAATTGGCGATTTCTTCAAAAAATTGGATTAAAATGTTAAAATATGCACCAATAAAATTGAAAATCTAAACCTATGAGGATATTCTCCGAAAAAATTGCCCGATTTAATTGAATTTACTAGTTACTTTGCAGGTGCATTGTCTAAATCGAAATTATACACCAAAAAATGTCGAACAAAACCTGTACGCGATTTAGGTACAAAAAAATCCTTAGAAACTTCATAGCTACCAAATTACACAAATCGTCACAAAAAAATCAATATTTTCATCCGAAAACGTAAAACTTCACCCTGTCCCCCTTTCTAAGCCAACACACAAAACCGTTGAAAATCATGGTTTACAATTTCGCAAATAAATAAAATTTTCGCCTAATTCTAATTTACGAAAAAATTTTGTACCGATTTACAACCGCTTCAGAAAAAGGCTCAGGGATTTCAGCCCTCACAAACTCCTCGAACGAAACTTCCCAAACTCAACGAAAAATTCCCCGAGACGAAACGATTTAAATAAAAAACCCAAAACGCAATTCACTTTTTACAACCCGCACAGTCCGCCCGTCTACAGGCTGATCTTGGTCTCGATCCCCTCCCCGTTGCCGCTGCTGCTCACCACCGTATTCTTCGGGTTGAGCCTCTCCAACGAATCCACGTTCTTGCGTGACCGTCTCTCCCTCCTGCCCTCATTGCTGACGCTCGTGCTCTGCGTGGCGTTGCCGAGGCTGGACGAGCGCGACGTCAGGCTGCTCTGGCTGTCGTTGAGACGGCTCGAGCCCGGTTTGTGCCTATCCCGTTCCCACGTGAAGGATGTGACCTGGCCGTCCATAATGGGGCAGGTGGCCTGCGAGTCCGACGTGTGGCTGGACTTGGAGCCCTGCGAGTGCTTGAGGGGCGTTGGGGCCGTCTTGAAGTAGGCTCCTTCAGAAAAAAAAAATTGTTTGGGTTAATCGTGCAAGTTATAGTTGCGTTATTTTGGTAGGGAGGCATGCAAGCAAAGCGGAAGTGAAGCTGAGGCGGTCCAACGGATGAATCGATAAAATTTTTTTTATATACATTTTATTAATTCAATTGACTTACAAAGCAAAAATTTTAAAAAGTTCCTTATTTCTACCTACGTATAAATATTAATGTTTAATAAAGTGTGATTATTTTGAAAATTATACGATGGTCGTCGTAAATTTTGGATTTTGGTGTTTTGTATTTGGTGAAAACCGAAAAAAAATTCTCACTTTATTCAGGAAACGTAACTTAGAATTAATTATAATTACAGGAATCATGCAATCCTTATGTATTTGACTTTATAGATATTAAAAGAGTAGTTCAAATGTACAAACTGCCACGTCATGATTTTTTTTACTTTTTCTGCAAAAATTGTAAAAAATGGCGAAATACATGTTACATATTAAAAAAAAATAGATTAAAAAGTTAACTAATGAAAATTCTCCTATAAAAAATTCAAACTGAACAATTAAAAAATTATAAACAAAAAAAAATCAAATACATATATATTTCTATCTAGATAGAAAAGTAGTTCAAATCTACAAATTTACTCAAATTTCGTCATTGGATTTTTACTTTGTTTAAAGTAAATAAAAATGAGTAGGTACAGGTGGATAAAATTTTTCTGAAATAAAAAAAAAAAATCATACGATGAAAATTGACGGAGCTATGCGCATTTGAAAAATGGAAAAATATTGATGGAAAATTTTGTTGCAATAACTTTGTTGTGTAATATAAAAAAAAAAAATGGGAACCAAGAAAACAACCCTATTAAGATAGCTGTATAAAATTCTCCAACATTAAAAAAAAACAATTACAGTGACAAAAAAACATGCAAAATATTGGTTATTGGAAGTATTTGAGTATTAATTATACTATTTATCCCAGCAGATGCTAGAGAAGTAGTTCAAATGAATACACTTCTTAAATTGTCATTACGATTATCAGTTTTTTTTTTGTACAAAACCACCGAATTTCAAAAAATTGAAGTGTTAAATATCTCAAAAAAAAACATTTAAAAAAAATGTGAGAAACAACCCTATTGAGCTAACTGAATAAAATAGTTTAAGAATTTAAAAAAAACCCAAATTTAACAATGCTTCTACAAATGCTAGAAGAGTAGTTCAAATGTACAAACTTCCAAAATTTGTCATTACGATTTTTAGTTTTTTTTTTTTGTATAAAACCGAAATTCAAAAAATGAAAAAAATATTTAAAAAAAACATTTAGAAAAGTGAGAAACGATCCTATTGAGCTAACTGAACAAAATAGTTTAAGAATTTAAAAAAAAAACAAATTTAATAATGCTTCTACAAATGCTATAAGAGTAGTTCAAATGTACAAACTTCCACAAATTGTCAATATGATTTTTAGTTTTTTTTTGTATAAAATAACCGAAATTCAAAAAATGAAAAGGTGTCAAATATATCAAAAAACATTTAAAAAAAGTGAGAAACAACCCTACTGAGCTAACTGAACAAAATTATTTAAGAATTTAAAAAAAAACAAATTAACAATGCTTCTACAAATGCTAGAAGAGTAGTTCAAATGTACAAACTTCCACAAATTGTCATTACGATTTTTAGTTTTTTTTTTTTGTATAAAACCGAAATTCAAAAAATGAAAAAAATATTTCAAAAAAACATTTAGAAAAGTGAGAAACGATCCTATTGAGCTAACTGAACAAAATAGTTTAAGAATTAAAAAAAAAAAACAAATTTAATAATGCTTCTACAAATGCTAGAAGAGTAGTCAAATGTACAAACTTCCACAAATTGTCAATATGATTTTTAGTTTTTTTTTGTATAAAATAACCGAAATTCAAAAAATGAAAAGGTGTTAAATATATTAAAAAACATTTAAAAATAAGTGAGAAACAACCCTACTGAGCTAACTGAACAAAATTATTTAAGAATTTAAAAAAACCCAAATTAACAATGCACAAATGCTATAAGAGTAGTTCAAATGTACAAACGTCCACAAATTGTCAATATGATTTTTAGTTTCTTTTTTTTAAATCGAAATTCAAAAAATGAACATGTTAAATATCTCAAAAAAACATTAAAAAATAAGCAAGAAACAATAAAAAAGCAGTTTATAAAATGCTCCTACAAATGCTAGAAGAGTAGTTCAAATGTATGAATTGTTTGCATAAAAAAACGAAAATCAAGAAATGAAGAAACAAGTATTAATAATTTTTAAAAAATATAAAAAGACAGATTCTCTATTGAAGTGGCTGAAAAAAATTCCTCAAGAATAAAAAATACATAAAAACTTTATTGACTCAATTTTATTTGTTTATTTTGTTTTAAAGAGTGATTTTCAGAAAATTTCGCCCGTCCCTCGGAATCAAAACTCCCCGCCACCAAAAACTGACCTACTGTTAGTCCGGCGAAGAGGCATAGCAGTTAGTAAGCCCGGCCCAACTAAAAAAATCAAAATTTACCTTCAATGAATTGAACTAACCGTTTGTTGATCCGCTCTGCTTCCACACCTTCAAACGGTGAGCGATCTCACTAAAATTCGGTCGTCTGTTGGCCTGCTCCGCCCAGCACTCCACCATGAGGGCGTAGCAGTAGCTGGGGCAAGCGTCGGGACACGGCAGCAGCTTCCTCGACCGTATCATGTTGATCACCTCCTGGTTGTTGTAGCCGTAGTAAGGCTGGAAAAGGCGAAGGGGGGTTGGAAAAAAAAAACACAAAGGGGCGTTATAGCCGATCGTACCTGCAGGCCGTAGCTGTAGATCTCCCAGAGGACGACGCCGTACGACCAGACGTCGCTCTCGGTGGTGAACTTCCCGTACAGGATGGACTCGGGCGGCATCCACCGCACCGGCAGGAGAGACTTAGATTGGACCCTGAAATTCAAATAATCGAGAGAATTTTTTTTTGAACGGTATTTTTTACGTTTCGACCCACCTATAGTAATCACAGCTGTACATGTCCCTGCTGAGGCCAAAGTCACTAATTTTAACTACTAAATCTTTGGATACCAGGCAGTTGCGCGCCGCCAAGTCCCTGTGGACGTAATGGTTGCCCGAGAGGTACTCCATACCTGGAAGATGCAAACGTCATGGTAGAAACAAGTTTTTTTTCACAACTCAAAGGCTGTTAAAACATCGCTAGCTATAACTGCGGAATCATGGAATGCTTATGTATTTGTCTTTACATATGTTAGAAAAGTAGTTCAAATGTACAAACTGTATAGTGTACACAAACTTTACGTTTTTTGAAAAAAAAGAACAAAAATAAAAAATTACTAAATACATGTTAAATATTTCGAAAAAATTGACTTAAAAAAATGGGAAACAAGTCTGTTACCTAGTTAGATAAAATTCTCCAATATGAAAAAAATTTCAAATGTAACATTTAGAAAAAACTAAAAAAAACTTTAATGAAACAATTATTTGTGTGTTGCAGTCGATTTGTATTTGTCTCTGCAGATGCTAGAGAAGTAGTTCAAATGTACAAGCTTCATCTACGTCCTAATACGATTATTTTATTGTATAAAACAATCCAAATTCAGTCATAAATCAATATTTAAAAAAAAATAAAAATAATGGACAACAATCCTACCCAAGTAGCTGGATAAAAACTTTAAAAATAAACAAATTTGCAAATTTAACAACAGCTAGGAAATTATTAACTCAAAAAAAAAAAAACACAAAATATTTATTGACCATTCAAGTTACAATTATATGCGTCGGAAACGATTATGTGGGCAGATGCCAAAAAAGTAGTTCAAATGTACAAACTTTCACAAATTATGATTCTTACTTTGTCATATGATTTTATCTTTTAAATTAAAAAAATCATTAAACATGTGTTGAATATTTCAAAAAATGTTTAAAAAAATGGGAAACAACCCTTTGCGGTAACTGGATAAATTCCTTCAAAAATTAAAAAAATATATATATGAAACTTAATAACAATTGGGAAGTTACTAACTCAAAAAAAAAGCTTTAGCAAAATATTGATTGTGTATTTATTTGTCTTTACAGATGCTAGAAAAATAGTTCAAATGTACGAACTTCCACAAATTACAAAATACTACAAACTGGACTGATTAATTGAACTGTTTCCTCTGTACGGCTCGAATTTTATAAACAATTTGAAAAACGTAGAAAATTTTATATCAGATTTAAAGAAGTGACACTGAAATGATAAAAAGTCAAACACACTAAAAAAATATTAACGTTCCTTTCAAAACAATAAAATTAAGACAACTTCCCACATAAAAAGAATGTGGTTACTAGTTTTTGCCTGACTTTCTAACCTGAAATATGAAATATGTCAAAAATCGTTTAGTAGTTTCCGCCTGATTTCCTAACCTCAAATACAAAATAGATCAAACATTCTTTAGTAGTTTCCTTCAAACTTTCTCACCCCAATATGTCAACTATTGTTTAGTAAGTCCTGTCTGACTTCTTAACCTCAAATACAAGATAGGTCACATATTGTTTAGTAGTTCCAGTTCAATTTTCTAACCTCAAATACGAAACACGTCAAATATCGTTTAGTAGGTCCTGTCTGTTTTCCTAACCTCAAATACAAAACAGGTCAATTCCGTCAAACTTTCTCACCCCAAAAAGTCAACTATTGTTTAGTAGTAGGTCCTGTCTGATCTCCTAACCTCAAATACAAAATAGGTGAAATATACTGTAGTAGTTTCCGTCAAACTTTCTCACCTCAAATATGAAATATGTCAACTTTTTTAGTAGGTCCTGTCTGATTTCCTAACCTCAAATACAAAATAGGTGAAATATACTGTAGTAGTTTCCGTCAAACTTTCTCACCTCAAATATAAAATACGTCGACTATTTTTTAGTAGATCCCGTCTGATTTCCTAAACTCAAATACAAAATAAGTCACATTGTTTAGTTAGTTTAGTAATTCCAAACAATGTGTATTGTTTAGTAGGTTTGATTTTCGAACCTCAATTATGAAACATCGTTTAGTAGGTCCTCTCTAATTTCCTAACCTCAAATACAAAATTCTTTAGTAGTTTCAGTCTGATTTCTTAACCTCAATTTCAACTTTTCCCATTTCTTAAGGACATCCAACAGACTACTCGCCTTCAAAAAATTCTATATTTACACTCCCAATTCTATAGTTGTTATTCCATTTACAAATAATTTTAAAATTAAAAAATTGTCACCGAATTACTACAAATTCAGTTTCAAGGCATTTTTGCTCAAAAATTTATAAAAATCGTACCAGTTTTTCACGATATATAACCGGTTCTAGAAAACCGTTGCCTACCTTGAGCGATCTGGATGGCCATGTCCAAAAACTGGTCGTGCGTCAGACACTTGCCCTCCTCCGGCGAGTTGGCTATCAGGAACTCGTGCAAGTCCCCCTGAGAAAGAAATTCCTATAAAAAAGGCTCAAGCCCGTCACGTTCGAAGACGCTCACCTCCGACATGTACTCGAACAGCATGCACATGGGCTCCTGCTTCATCACGACCCCCAGGAGACAGATGATGTTCGGATGCTTCAGCTCCGAGATCAACTCGATCTCCCGCTGGAAGTCCGCCTGCGTCTTAGCGCTGGCGTTCTCCTTCAGCGACTTCACCGCCACGAATATCTTGCCCGTCTTCGTCTTCAGTTCGCCTTTGTACACTTTTCCTACAAAACGAAACTTGAAAACCCGAAACGACGATGTAAACGACGCGACTCACCGAAAGCTCCCTCTCCCAACTCGTCCAAGAACCTGACCTCCTTGTACGTGTACTGCGGCACCGTCTGCAACCCGTTCTTGTTCGAACCGTGGTGGTTCCTCTGCGGCGGGACGCTGGGCAGCAGCGTGTTCAGCTCCATGGGCGAGCTCGGTCCCGGATTCCCGTAAATGTTCTTGCTCACCTGGGGCAGGTCCTTCTAACAAACGACAGTGTTAATGCAGCGTTGCCGGAGAGAAATAACGTCGGCGACTTACATTTTGAAGGTTCCTGGCGACTTTGCCCCGTCGCTTGCAGTAGCAGTACGCGAAGACGATGCCCAGGGCTAAGCCGATGACCACGGCTATGGCCAGGACGTATATGCCGTAAATGTACACTGAAATCAAGGATTTTCTAGTTAGCGGCCAAAAAAATGTATATTTTGCTTAAACGTACCGCATTTCGATATTCCGCAGGTCTCTTTCCTGTTCTGCTCGACGTAACAGAAAGGTTCGTCCTCCGTATCGCCGGGGTTCCTAGAAAAACGTACAAAAATACATATTTATGCAAAAAATGTCGGAAAACCGAATAATACCTGCAATAATTGTGGCCTGCCAGTTCGGGGTAGTCGGAAAGGGGCATGTGGAACTGGTGGGACCAGCGCAGGCACTTTTCGCCGGTCACCGCCCTGTCTTGGTCCCCCCTGTACAGTCGGCCCCGGTCCCAATAGCATTTCTCCTCTAAAAAACGGGGTAAAAAGTAAGAGAAGTTGTCTAGTGACATAACGTTAAAATTTTTAGTTCAAATGTCCCATAGGCACCACATATTTCTGTAGTGTCGTACAAGTGTGGTGACTATAATGCAACGTTTTCAAAGAAAAGAAGCGTAATAATTTATTATAGGTTTAGTAATCGCCAATTTTTAATATTGTAGGTAACGACTAGTCACTTTGGCATGTACTTTTTCAAAATATATAGAATACATTTACGAAAAAAAATTACTCTTTAAATTGTTAAATATAATGTTTTTGCAGACTGAAATTTAACAACAAAAAATACAATGAAATACAACTTGTGTTTCCATTATTATAAGCTGTACATATAAAAAAAAACAAAAGCGTTATTAAATAAAGAGATAGAAAACCACAATCTAAACCATTTTATAACTAAAATTTAGAATGTGAAGCTACTTTAAAAGTGTTAAAGACACAGAATTCTGTCCATTTTAAATTTCAGAATTGAGGTTAGGAAATCAGACAGAAACTACTAAACGATATTCGACATATTATTTGAGGTTAGAAAATCAGGTAGAAACTACTAAATAATAAACACACGTAAAATATCATTTAGTAGTTACTAACTTCAAATATACATCGTTTCATAGTTTATGCCCGATTTCCTAACCTTAAATATAAGTACATACGGAAAATATTAGTTCCGAACTGTTAGAAATGTGCATCCAACTAATTCTTGTGAAATATTCACTGAAGACACATTTAGAACGCATTTCGAACGGTTCGGAGCCAATCCCTGACTCTTGTTGGAACAGACCTATCGTTTAGTAGTTTCTGTCTAATTTCTTAACCTCAAATACAAAACACGGCAAATATTATTTAATAGTTTCTTGTCATTTCTTTCTTTGAAAGTCATTTTCATAAAATAAATATTGAAATAGTTGTTAGTGTCCAAAAATTGTTTTGTTGGAAACGATTATGTTGCAGTCGCTAGAGAAGTAGTTCAAATGTACAAACTCCATTTACATCATAATAGGATTATTTTTGATAAAACAATCTAAATTCAAAAAGTCATGAAGCAAGTGTACTAGTGAAACAACTGAATAAATCTTTCAAAAATAAAAAAATATATCAAATTTAACAACAGTTAGGAAGTTACTAACAAAAAAAACTAACAATATTGATTATTGTAAATTACAATTATTTGTGTGTTAGAAACGATTGTGTGTGCAGATGCCAAAAAAAGTAGTTCAAATGTACAAACTTCCACAAATTACATCATAATTAATATGATTTTCGCTTTTTTTTTCAGAAAACCTTCGAGTATATACTACCTGAGGTAGGCTGTTCCCATCACGTGGGATAGAGAGATAGCATATACTTTCATAGCAGCTATCTCTCTCTTCATCTTGTAATGCGCCCAGCCGTATATGCTTGAAGCATAAAATCAAAATTAAAAAAATCATAAAACTCATGTTGAATATTTCAAAATTTAAAAAAATGGGAAACAATGCTATTGGATAAATTCCTTCAAAAATTAAAAAAAAGTGCAATATCTTCAGTCATTCCCTTAAAATGAATAAAATCGTAAAAATTATTTAATAGCCTGGTAATACAACTCTTTAGAAAATAAACTGAAAATCGTTACTGTAGGACCATCCGCTGAGAAGATCTAACCAATTTTCGAGAGAACCTTTTTTTAAAAAAAAATTGATATTTGTATATCCAAAAACAATCAATATTTTTCAATTTTTCAAACAAAAAAATTTTGCCCAGGTGATAATTTCTGTAAATTTAAAATTAGGCCGTCACAAAATGCTTGGACTACAAAATTTATAGTTTTCCGTCTATTTACGTCGAGTTAAAAATAATTACGCAATTACTCTAAAACCCCTTCAAATATAACGCAAAGCATACACACCCTTATTCAACGTCAAGTCTCCCACCCCCAGGGACAGGCAGTGCGTCGAACTGACCTCGCTCTCCAACGGCAGCTGCTCGCACTCCTCCAGGTCCATGATCTGACCTGCGGGAAAACTCTCAAACAATCGAATCTCTACCTCGCCAACGGTCGCTTACCGATCAACAGATGCCTCTTGGCTATGGAGTACTCCTTGCTGCACAGCTCGTTCTCCAACAATATACACTCGTCCCGGCAGATACGCCTGAGGAAATTCCTCAGTTTCGCGCGGATGGACTTGAATTTGTGTCGGGACTCCGCCGTCACGGCCCGGAACTCGTGGAGGTGGTCCGTCTGGTACATGTTGATCTGCTGGGGGTCCTTGCACAGGGGGAAGGCCGAGAAGCAGATGCTGGGCTGAGCGAATTTGTTACAGCTAGGGGATATGTCGCTGGAAAATGGAAGAATTCGCAGTAGTTCAAACGTCCAACCGAATTAAATTTTCAAAGAATTCACGTACTTGCTCTGAGATATGACTAAGAAGGCGGCGTCCAGCTTGGCCTCGATCTCCTGCTGGGTGTAGGGGGGCTGGACGAAGACGTACTTGCCCTCGAGGTACTGGCTGCACCTCCGTCCCTTGTAGGGCTGGCAGAAGGGCTCCGAGTTGTTGTAGATGGGCACGTTGTCGGTCAGTTTGCCCGACGAGTCCAGGTCGAACTGGATGGGGGCCGAGAAGGTCTTCGTCTTGGCGCCCGCGGTGGACAGGTAGGGGTCGGTGTGGGATTTGACAATGGTGTTGGGGAGGAAGGTCGTTATCTCCCCGAAACTGGTTAAAACGAATAAAATAGTGAGTTAAGTCGGTGTAATTGAGGATATTAATTAAAATGATTTGCGGAACATATACAGGGTCAAATTTTTTGTTGCGGGTAAAACTCATAATAATAAAATAAACACTTTTTGCAAACACGGTTTTTTGAAAAATTTTAAAGCTGCTCTTTTCCAGAACCCGAATAAATGATGGCGGTTAGGGGTGAACCCGTAAGGGAAAACCCATATTATATACTACTAGAAAAAATTAAAGGAATAAAAAGTTTTCATTAATCTTTTAGTGATTTTTGAAAAGCTGTATCTCGGTGAAAAATGGTCGTATCGAGATAAAAAAGAAAGCGTTTTGAAGCTTTAAGTTTCACAATGTTTACACAAAAAATTGTTTTGAGCTATGGTTATCCCGCAATGAAACGAAATACCTTGAGAAAAAATTTTCAAATTTTTTTTTCTTATAACCGTCAACAGATTTAAAAAATTTATTCAAATTCAATCAATACAAGCACCAGTTATCTTATTTATTCAGCTTCAATTTGATTTTTTAGAGATCTCCATACCACTATTGGTTGCCGAGATATCGATGGTTGAATGAAAATTAACACTTTTGTTTTTAATCATCGATACTTTGCAAGAAATTGTTCCATAGTAAATCCAAAGGCAAAGAGTGACTGCAAAATCCGCCTGTTTTTGAGACTTTGACAGAGACGACAGTTTCAGTTTATCGAAAATTTTTGAAAATCATCCTTATTTAGGGGTTGAAAAGACAAAAAAGTGAACAAATTAAGAATCGTCAACAGTTGTAAACCCCCAAATATTTCTATGTTGTTATCAAAATAATATTATGAACGTGAAAATATCTAATTTCGTATTTGATACGGTCCTGTCCGGATTGAAAATCAACCCATAATATCCTTAAAGGGGTGAAATCATCCCCTAAACGCCTAAAAATGCAAAAAATATATTAATAGTTACAATTTATTCATGTGTCAAACATCAAGTATGATAATTTTTTTCACATTGTTTACAATTTATGTATATTTGGGGGATGATTTTACCCCTTGAGAGATGATTATTTTTTAAAATGATTGATAATGTATGGGAGTACTTGTGTATAAATTATTCTAATGAATGTATTTCGAAACATTAATTTTTTCATGCATTATAACTATTTTATGTACTTTAAAGCCGATGGTTGAACTTAGGGGTGGTTTTACCCTCATTTAGGGGAATTTTCCTTCGGATCTAGTGATTGTGGGTTATTATAATGGTTCAATTATCACTTATAAAAGAAAAAGGAAAGAAATTGTTACTTTTAATGTATTTTTTGCATTTTTAGGCGTTTAGGGGATGATTTCACCCCTTCAGAGATATTAAGGGTTGATTTTCAATCCGGACAAGACTGTATCAAATACGAAATTAGATATTTTCACGTTCATATTATTTTGATAACAACTTAGAAATATTTGGGGTTTTACGACTGTTGACGATTCTTAATTTGTTCACTTTTTTTGTCTTTTCAACCCCTAAATAAGGGTGATTTTCGAAAAACTGAGAGTGATGCTAATTTTCACTTTTCATGACGAGTATTTGGACTTTTTAGAATATTTTTAGGTTTTTCCTTGTCGCCCCTGTCAAAGTCTCAAAAACAGGCGGAAAAATGGCTTTTTTTGCGGTCACTCTTTGGAAACTTGAATAAATTCTGTACAAGGGCCTGTCATGATTTTCGAAGAAAAAATTTTTGTCCATCCGTGACATCAATTTGAAAAATGTACAAAAAAAATTCTTACGGTTTTTTAAAAAGTCTACCACTAATTTACAAATATTTATGAAAAGACTAAGAGATAAATTTTCAGTGTTCAATGTACTCACAATTACGCTGTAAATTGACAAGTCGATGCAACCGTTTTTCTGTTCCAAATGATCAGTTTTGGAAAAAATTAAAGGAACATGTGTAAGCAATAATTATCAAAATAAAAAGAAAAATTTTTCTCGACTTTTCTTACAATTTTGCATTAGAGTTTAAATTTAAGAAAAAAACAAAAGAATTAAAAAAATATATCTTATCTTTTTCTTATTTCGATACGACCATTTTACACTGTGATACGACCTTTCGAAAATCACTAAAAATTCATGAAAATTGTTTCTTCTTTTAATTTTTTTTCAGTATATGGGATGCAGCAGCAGTCTGACAACACTCCCCGTAAACTATCAACTCATTACTGCTGTAAATGACCATTACAAGCGAAATTATTCAACCAAAAATTAGTCAAAATCCTCGATAGAACTATCACGATTATACAAGAAAACATTTAAAAAAGACGATTAACATCAGGTTTCTCTGCCGTTTATTTTGAATACCCGGAGGTTATTTAAGAAATAGAATATTTGTTTTGAGTAGTTCTACATGCTGGTAAAAAAAATATTATTCAACTTCTACGAGTTTTTTAGACAAAAATCACCTCAAAACCGTAATTTGTATAAAAATCTTGACAACTAACTTACCCGTCTGGATGCGTGCTGGCAATTTTGAGGGTGTTGACGTCTGTGCTGCCTGAAAATACAAATAGTTACGTTGCTGTTCAAGAGATTGCCACGATTATAATAAAAAAAAAACGGAGAAAATGTTTGGAACTCCTGCAGTTCCCCGCATTTAAATAATAGAACTATTATATTCGCTATTTATCACTCCCCAGGTACTAAATTACTCCCCTGGCATAAACAACTTTCTTATACAAACACGTAATAAAATAAACTGCCATTGTTGAATTAAAACTTACATCCCAACGTAAATGTTTCACTCCGACAGAAAGAAATCCCGAAATTTGCAGTCTAAATATTTGCCCGTACGCATCAACTCCTATTATTTTTCATTCCGAAAGGCACCGCATAAATCTCGTAATTGTCACACACAACGCTATTGCAAGATTTACGACGAAACGTAAATCTATACTCACCCCACTTGTGCAACTCCTGGTTAATCTCCAAGAAGGCGGAAGACTTGACCTTATCCACGCCGTTGCTCGCTATGCAGTCCAGGAACCCCCTGTCGAAGTACTCCAGTTTTGTCACCCTCAGGGTCGACCTGAACACGTGATCCTTGACCTGAAACCGTAAAAAATCAACAAAAACCATGCTTACTTAACACCACACGCACCTTGACGTTCCTGATCTTGAACCTATCGTCCGTCTCTACAGGCACTTCGTTCAACTTCCAAACGAAACCAACTCTGCCGTTGGTGTTGTTCGTGTCCAGGTTCTGCGCCTCGCAGATCAGCTTGGCCATCTTGCCGGACTCCCTAGTGAGGTTCGTCAGCTCCCTGGTGAACACCAACGTCCCTGGAAGCGAAACAACGTATTTACAATGTCCACGCCAGTAGGTCTAATTCGCGGTAGTTGCGTGGGTTTCGCGGACGATGTGCGAACGGTAGTTCAAATGAACCGTAGGCATGCGTTTGTAGAAGTGTCTCAAGATTTCTCACCGTTTGACGTTGAGTTGATGTTCGATAGGTCTTCGATCTCTTCATCGTAGTCTTCATAGTCCACCGTCGAGGTTGTAAGTGCTGAAATAGAAGTACAAATATATAGTTCAAGTTTTAAAACAAATTTAAATGATATTTGACTGAGAGCACCGTTTTAAGACGACTATTCAATTTGAAATGAATTATTTTTTTATTAGTTTTGCACAACTAGAAGTTTATTACCAAGAAAATGTGGGAGGTTCGTTTTCGAGTGTAGGAGACGAAAAAAATGGCTTGCAATGTCATTTTTAAAAGCGAACAAGTAGCTGGGTGTCCCATAATACCACCCATTACACAACAGTGGGTACTGTAGATGCCAATTAACATAATTTGCAATAAAAACAACATAAAAATTAATACAGCACGTTTCCTCTAATTGCCGACCGGCCAAAACCCGCTCTGGGGACGAGGACGCAGGGGCTAGAATCGCCCGGTTCGAACGCAAGCGTTCCCAAAATAAATCGCCGATATATTTAGCATCTAGATTTTAAAGATATAAACATGTAGACGAACGATACCATCCCGCGATTATTTTGCTGAACGTCCGCCGTAAGACGCGCTAAGTGCGGAGGAAACAGAGACGGCCGCAACGTCGAGTGAAAAACTCATTTTCCCCGGCATTTTCAGTAAAGAGATAACCGCGGCCAAGTGTGGTGCGGGGTGTGCGTGCGTGTGGCTTAACCTAAAAATCGTCGCGGAACAATAGACTGGCGACAAAGACGCTCGGGTGTGCAGAGAAAACAAAAACCGACCGGACCACGGCGTCTCTGCGATATGGACGAATAAAGCTGGTTCCGCGGAAGTCTAGAAAACCCCAAAGTAAGTCTTAGCGCTGGCCGAGTGACACCCCAGTCGGACAACGGTGTGCAGTAGTAAGGTTAATTACTAAAAATACTTTCAACTGTCAAACAGGCTTGAGTAATTCCACGTTTGCCACGGAGATGTTATTGCTAACCCAAATATTTATAAACGCGTAAAGTTTTAGTTTATTTAAGGGGGAACCGACCGACACACGAACACACACATTTTATTGGGAGCGTTTTCTGAAAATCGGGAGGCATGTGCCACCGGGAACGCTTATAAAAATCCGAGATTGAAGGTCGCGCCGCCAGATTTGGCCCAATTTTCATAAATTCTCGTGCTCAAGCTTTGTTGTGGACGATCCAACACAAATGGAGATTAATTTCAGCATTTACAATACACAGGATGTTCGAAAATTTGCCTCCAAATTTTACTTTCGATCCTATGTGAAAGACAAGTAAAACTAAAACGAAAAAAGGCAGCACGACCTTTAATTCCTGTCAGAAAACGAACTTGTGTTTTCTTTAAGCAGGCCGTGGACGCCACCCAAGGTCGGTAAAGTAGGAGGTTGCCTACAAATTGCAAAATTTGCGAAAGAAGGTCGAGAGTTTTAACAATGAGTATGTTTGTAAGTTAGAGAGCAAAAATACAGGTCTTAAATCGCAACTTGCCTGAATTTTTGATATGTTAGTTTTGAGATATACAGGGTGACATAGAAAAAAGTACATTGCATAGTGTCATACAACAGAGGACAATAAAACAAGAAAAAAAGTTCCTATGAACATGGGTCCGCAAGGCCTTCGGTTAAAGGATACGGGGTGTTGAATTTTAATTTTTTTTTATTTGCAAAAGCAATGATAAATACTTCAACAATTAAATTTTAATGGTATGATGAAAAATATGATTAATTAAAACAAAACATTAAGTTTTTAGAAGATGTTCAAATTGTTGCCCTTGTACTTCAATACATTTTTCCATTCTTCTTCTTAATGATTGACGGCATCTTTGAAATATTCCTAGGTTATTATGAAATCTATCTGCCGATTCCATAATTCTTATCCATAATTGTTCTTCATTATGTATTTCTACAGCATAAACTTCATTTTTCATAAATCCCCAAAATGAAAAATCGAGGGGATTAAGGTCGGGACTACGAGCTGGCCAGGGTACAGGCCCCCTTCGACCAATCCACCTATTTCCAAATCTCCTGTCCAAATATTCCCTTGCCACTCGAGAAAAGTGAGCTGGCGCCCCATCATGCATGTAATACATTCTTCCAATAATGGCCAATGGGACATCCTCTAATAATGTGTTTAAATCATTCTCCAAGAAATTTCGATACAGTGCACCTGTCAATCGATTGGGCAATCGAAATGGGCCAATTAAGTAATTGTCGATTATACCTGCCCACACATTAATAGAAAACCCATATTGGTGACTCCGAATTATAGTTTGATGAGGATTTTCATCACTCCAATGGTGCATGTTATGTAGGTTCAGAATACCATCACGACTAAAACTAGCTTCGTCAGTAAACAAAATTGATGAAATAATGTTTTCTCTTTGGTTTTGAAACCATTCGCAAAATTGTACACGAGGAACAAAGTCATGTTCCAATAGTGAATGAATTTTTTGGAAATGATATGGGCGAAGAAGTTGTTCTTTGAAAATTTGTCTAACTGATTCACGGTTAAGGTTTCGCACCGCTGAACTTGTTTTCCTGGTGCTTGTTCTCGGATTATTTTCTACCATTCGTAAAACAGTTTCTTCGTTTCGCACAGTGCGACGAGTTCTGGAAACCCCACTATTCAATTTTGGTTTTCTAAAACAGCCATCTTCTCCCAAACGCCTATGCACATCAATAAATGTTCGAACATTAGGAACTTGTCTTAAAGGATATCTTTCTCGATAGATACGTTGAGCTTCGTAAGAATTTGATCTAGCTTCGCCGTAACACATAATCATGTCCCTGTATTCTTCAAAAGTGTAGCGAACCATTTTTGAAAGCAATTTTGAATAATCAGTGAGAAAACCAATGAAAAACTTAATCAAGAACACAAAATACCTCTAACAATTATTATATTAGTTTGACAAGTGTCATTATGACACATTATTTAATTGTTATTTATCATTGTTTTTGCAAATGTTACTTTGGCGCTTTTTGAATAATTTGCGTGCATTGTCGGCTTTTGTACTGGAACCATTGCTTCTAGCGACTTGGACAAGGTATACCTTTCTTACGTATAAAGAAGGGATAACAAATTTTTTTCAGTCGAAAATGACATACAGTGTATAGCAAAAAAGTTAGGACCGATTCAATAGATATGGAACCCTGTATGTAGCGCCCTCTATCAGTAATCACAAAACTAAGATCATATTTGAATTTAGCATGATAAAAAACCCCTGGATACCACATTTTATCCATTTCTTGCGTCTCTGGCTAAGATATTAAAAAAAAACCCAAACAAAAATAAAATTCAACACCCCGTATCTTTTAACCGAAGGCCTTGCAGACCCTATTGTGTGGCACTATGCAATGTACTTTTTTCTATGTCACCCTGTATAACAAAAATGATTTTTTTAAAAAGATAAAATAAAGGGGTCTTTCAAGATAATTCAAAAGGGGTAAGAGCTAGAAAAAGTTTATTATAAAAATTGTAGAGCATAAAATTCTACATAAAAATGGTCTATTAGCTTTTTCTTTACTATTAAAAATAATAGTCAGGGGGACTAGAAGTTAAGCGATGATTTCAGAAATTTAAAAATAACAAGCACAAAAATGAATGAATTGTTATTCTTTTTTTCAATCTACTCTATAAAATGTAAACTATTTTTTCAGAGAAATTGATATATTTTTTAATTTTTAATAAAAGAGTTAACAATTTCACAAAGCAACTTTTCATTATTTCAAATAATCAATCGAATGGCATAGAAAAAAATTGTTTTGGTGTTAAATCATAAAAATTAACGATTAAAAAATTGAAATTGTTATAACTTTTTTATTAAAAATTAGGAAATACAGTGCGTTGAAGTACGATATCTCCGTTATTATAGAAGATATCAAAAAAAGTTATTTACAAAAATTGTACCGACTTAAAACCGCACATTTTAAAATTATTTTCGTATATACGGGGTGTTACGTATTACCAGGATGAACCAAACATACTATTTTTTAAATGGGACACCCTATATATTATTTCAAATTTAGATTAACCTCACCTCTCCCATGCTTCCAATATAGGGTTTAATTATGTTATGCAGGGTATTTCAAAAATTATAGTTAATTGTATACGAGAATCATTCCAATTTCAACGTCCTGTATACCCTAAACAGAACAACTTAACAATAATTTTTTGCAGCCATAACTATTTGATATTGGTACAATTTTACGAGAAAGTGCTATGTCTTTATTATTGCAACAGTTGAATATAGGGCGAGCCAAAACTCGAACACATAATTTTCTCAATTTTTTTAAATGAATCACCCTGTATTTTATTTTAAAAACTGAAAATACACTTTATGTTCTTTCATTTTTATAAAGCATTCCCTACAGCTAAAATCATTAATTTCTTGAGATATTTACCATTTAATAACAAAACGAGTTTTAAAAAAATTTCTATAGAAATCAGAAAGTAGAGATTTCAACGAAGAAAAAGCCCACCGACGTTTTTAAAAAAGCAGATATTTTGACGTGAGAATTTTCGATTGAAAATTAGGGTGCTTTTTCGATATTAAGTAAAAATAAGGTGAAAAAATAAATATTTCAAATCAAAAAAANACCACCGAGAACGAAAGGTATTCAAATTCTTCTGATTCATTTAATGCTAAATCAGTAGTTGATTTAAATTCATATTTCCCGCATTCGAAAACTCACATCTCGTCTGATATTTTGTCAGGTAGCCTGGCAACTATGAAGACTAAAAGTATTTGGGTACATTCAGCAAGTATTCAAGAACAACGAGAATAGTCGAAAGTGCAGAGGCAAAAAAATTGTTTCAATTTACTAAGTCTAGTTTTTTGATAGTTGATTACAGTAATTGTGTACACAAACATACTGTGGTCAGTCAAGCGAAACTGAGAACAAGTGTCTCAGGTACACTATCAAAGTTGACTGACCAGCTCTCTCCCCACATTCAGCTGACTGACTGACATAACTTTTAATTATATGCAATATAGAATTTGTATAACGATTTTCAGCTTTAGTAAATTCATTTTATTACCTATAGGTACGACAACTTTGATAGTGTATCTGAAACACCATTTCTCCAGTTCGTTTCACTGACCATAGTATGTATGTGTACGCAACTACTGTAATCAACTGTCCAAAAAACTAGCCTTCGTAAAGTCAAACAATTTTTTTGCCTCTGGCTCTCCGTCTAGAACTTTTAAGAATGAAATACCACTCGATTTTTCATTCAAGATCTCCCATCACTATTTATAAGAGAGTGGTTAATATTTCCCGTACTCAAGAACTCATCTTGCATGATATTTGCTACGTGTCGAGAACTAAAAGTATTCGAGTACTTTCAGCAAGTATACGAGAACAGCCAGTACTTTTAAGAATAGGGTAGTACTCAATTTTTCATTTGAGTTCTGCCATCACTAAGCAAAATATGCATCGGCCGTTACGTGAGAGCGATAAAGGAAGTCATAGAAATCTGTGCGATAGAGAAAGATGGCTATAATGAAGGCGTCTAATAGTCACCGCCCATTTCGCCCTTCCACAAATAAGAAGTGGATCTTATTTGTGGAAGGGCGAAATGGGCGGTGACTATTAGACGCCTTCATTATAGCCATCTTTCTCTATCGCACAGATTTCTATGACTTCCTTTATCGCTCTCACGTAACGGCCGATGCATATTTTGCTTAGTGATGGCAGAACTCAAATGAAAAATTGAGTACTACCCTATTCTTAAAAGTACTGGCTGTTCTCGTATACTTGCTGAAAGTACTCGAATACTTTTAGTTCTCGACACGTAGCAAATATCATGCAAGATGAGTTCTTGAGTGCGGGAAAT